AGTTTAGTGTGGTTTAGTTTAGTTTAGTTTAGTTTAGTTTAGTTTAGTTTATTATAGTTTAGTTTAGTATTGTGTAGTATAGTATAGCGTAGGATTGTATAATATATTTTAGTATAGTTTGGTTTAGTTTAATTTAATTTTGTTTAGTTTGGTTGTTTATTCACCCCATCGGGATGAAGCCCTCTTGACAATGCTGACATGTATGAACCCCCTGGTAACTGCGTTCAAGCCGGTATAAACCGACCACGATTTCATAGTGACAGATTTATGTCAGAAGTTACACAGGACAACGGCGATGAGGATTCCCTGTTTTCAAATGATCCGCGTGCTCATCGCAGCTAGGGGAAAATGGTGAAGCTAGATTTGGCCAGCAATTCTGGCTGATACTATTAGTATTGTTATTCAAACAAGCACGATTTCGAGGAACACATTCCGAGCAAATTGGCGTCCAACCAACCGAATGCTTGAACCATCGGTGCGGTAAGACGAGCGGTAAGGATGAGCCCAGGATGGTCCCCATAACTAATGAACACGGATCACTTCATATGAATCCCTCTGTTTCACATTCATTGTGTGTCATGGTTCCAATGTTTTGGCAGCCACTTTCAAAGTTCTGTTGACTCAATTTCTGGTTATTGTCTATACGGCGGAATGAATCCCGTCTTTTTACGAAAACTCGTTCGAGCTTACCTGTAAGTAGTTTGTTTGAAAGGACATGTATGCCCGCTACTTCCTATGTTGAACTCACCAAAGTTCGACCCTCTGGGTGGTACTGTGGTCTTCTGCACTGGCTTACGTCGTAGAGCCATTCTGTGAGTTATTTTAATATTGAGAATTGATCAAGTATAAACACGCAGCAGCGCACTTCATCAACGTTACATCTGTCCGAAAAGCATACCATTCCGCTGTTGATTCCCACAATCGCCAAATCGCACCAGTAACGGCACCGCAACATTGTTGGCTCTCTCCTCTGATAAAGTTTTTGTTATTAGGTGTAAAGTTTGCCTTTTTCAAACTAACGGGGGCTTATTGACGGAACTTGCTTGTGGTCAGTTGATATCCAATCTCCCTGTCCTGAGCAATCGATCACGTAAATGGCACGGTTATTCACTGTTGAATCATTTGTTCTCCTCGTGCATATTCAGTCACCGCACACAGATTATTCGCACTTGAGTTTTTTCGCCGAAGATTCCTTGGATCTCCAGTGACGCCTGATATAAGATTGCACTCAAACTACAAAATTACTGACCGCTATTGTTACACAACGTTAAGTGGGAACACGAGAAAATCTAACGTATTCCTTCCTTAGTGAATGCATTTATAGAACCCACAAAACCATTCTGCGCAAAGGAAGTTCAATGAAACGCACAGGCATTTTTCTGATTCGTTTGATTTCATACGATTTGATTTAATGGCGAAGGATGGCCAACCGAAAAGACACCGGACACATCCCTATACGACGGATTGTCTTGAATAAACTCAGTGGATTATCAACAAGACAACTCCGTCCAACTTGGATTCAAGTAGAATATGAAGCTGACTGAAACTGGAACTGCGACTACATAATGAGCCCCAAGACGGGCAAAACCGCTCACATTTTTGCTGCGTGCTATGTTTTGTAGAGTTCATGCAGTTTAACTCATCCGCTACGTAGCTAAAAACGCTCGCGTGTTCGCCGCTAGTGTCGAAGTAGTGTATATCAAAGCGCTTCGAAATGTCCAGAATTCAGAGATGCCGAAGCTCACCAACATTTTTGGTCAATATTTTCTCCAATCGGGGATGCATTATCCATTTGATATTCACTGTGCCTCACTGACAATCTTTCCCACTAGTTAGCACAATGGCCACATTGTCTTAGTAATGCCGAATTATGTTGGTGGACGTTAGGATGAATCTGGCGAGAACACATATTTTTGTCCGATTGAAGGCATTCTTACTCATTAGTCCAAACCTGTGCTGGACACTTATGATCCTCAGTCTTCCTTCTCCATGGTGAATCTTTTGCTTCTACGCTTAAATCCTGTTAACAATTTGTGTTCAGGTCCCCGATGTAGCTCATCACACAACTCATTTAATGGAGCAGTGCAAAGTCGGATACGAGGCTGAAACCTTCATCAACTCTGTCCGTAACGTCTGTTCCTAAGGAAAATGCACTATGTTGTGTGATTTTGCCAAAATAAAATGAATTGAAACTTGCCCTTTCTGTGTTCTGCCACCGTCACGAAACATGGATTGTGTTCTTTCATAAAACGTAGTCGTCCATAAATCGTTCGGTATAAGCTGAAGGACATCATCGGTATTCTCAGACCATGTACACCTATCAAAACGCTTTCACAAATCTGACGTGCTATTCCACAATAGATGCCCGGGAGGAATAAAAGTAGGCCAGTCGGTCGACACAAGTAGGACGGCTTTTCTGTTGCCTGTAGAACCAAACACACTGCTCAAATCTCAATTTTTCTTGTGTTCACTCTAACCGCGATAGAGACGCATCGTCAAAATTAGCGCCATCGAATTTGAATGAGTCCTCATACAGCCCTTTACAACTTCATCTTCCTCAAGACATCAAGGGACACCTGTGCCGCCAAAGAGAGATGGCCACACATATGGTTGGTACTCTGGTAACTGATGAGATTTGTAAGAATTGAGCACATTAGACGTGATTGCACGAAATTCTGAGGAACATTCACGAAACCAACTTGATAGAAAACCACTTGGCCCAGGAGGCGTTTAGCAAGAGTAGTTGAAAATATGTTGGAGTTGCATGGAGTACTGGGGCGGTAGAAGAAGCTTGATAATGGCTTCAAGGGCTCTGAAGGCGCATTTAAGCAGCGCGAACTTGTCCTGATCTCATCCAGGAGGATGTGTCAGGAATAAGTTCCGCACGTATATCGGTATAACCAGAGGAACTAGAAATCCAGGATACAGCATAGCGTAACATGAGACACTTACGTATTTGATTTGGCGTATATATACAACATATGGAATATTAAAACCAGGGAATAATAAGTAAAGCAATTATTAGAGTATTAATCATGTTCATCACATCCGCCACAACTTGGATGAGCGTGTGGGTGTTTATAGTTTAGTGGTAATCTTGGTCTCAATGTTTCGGAACTTCTTGGATTAGAAACTTCAAGTTGTTTGCAGATAGTGTGTTCTTCAGACAAAACGTTTTGTTCGGACACCATAATATCAGCTACAAGGGATTTACTATTATCGGAGACATTAGGAGGGCCGTTAACAGACATGGTATTGATCTGCATATGGTCAATGTGTTGTCATTTGACGAAAATTTTTCTTTTGTAGCAGGTCGCAAATCATTACACTTGAAAAATCTAACATCAGCCGTTCTGGCACAGTCAAGCCTTGTACGAAACGAGCGAAATCTGAATAGAAGCGCGGAACTCTTCCCAGTAACGGAACGAACGGCATTCCTGTATTGCATCTGAAAGTTATCAATACCACGTCTAGGTCCGCAATACTAGTAGGCGAGAATGAAACGCTGAGAGACTTTGATGTTCGGATGAAAACTCTCATCAAGCAATTTGACTGGGGATGTCGTGGACCAATAAATAGATGCCGACATCAGAAATCCTTTAACCTTTACTCTAGGGATTCTGCAATGAAGTACGTGAAATTATCAGTGACATAAAACTGATGTGGCCGATTCATGGCTTTATACATTCTTCAATGCTTGCTGTTTGAGTACGGCACTTGGAGACGTAAAGAGAAAAAGTTCAGACCAACGTGAATATCCGTCAACAACAATTGAAATACAGTATGTACGGAAAAAATAACCGCAGTAGACTGCATGAATTCTATTAAATGTATCACAAGTAACAGGCCACCATACCAGTGTGAAGATTCGTTATGAATACTTTGTGCACATTTACCACCATTGTTAGCAGTGTATATGATGACAGAATCCAGTTCCGACCACCAGCATGACAAGCTTGCGAGGGGTTTCATTTTGTCAACACCCAGATACCCAGAGCGCAATTCTGTCAGAACAGCCCCTCGGTGAGTCGGTGGAATGATAACGCTATCCTCAAGGCACAACAAACCGTCCAGTGTAATGGACAGAGCTTCGCGGCGACAGTAAATAGCAGGATGTTGACGTCGCACTCGTTTCGTCCAGCGACGTCGCAGTGCACAACAAATGGAGCAAAATATATTTTGGTACCATCAACAAGGCCACGCCGTTTGACTGGTGGTGGTCGAAGCAATAAACAATCAAACTTGTTTGAATCAGAGTATCATGATGGGATTGTCGACCGGAAAATGTGCGGATGAATTACTTTTGCATTACGATGAATAATCGTGTAGTTGAACGAATCCACCGTTGCACGATAGCGGCAAATAGCTCCACTAGTTATTTTGGAGGATGATGTAAGAAATAAGGCGTCATTATCAATAGCAATAGTGAACAGATACGCATTGAACCGTTTGACAGCCCAATATAGCAAGTGCTTCTCGTTGTGTCTGAGGATAATCACATTCGGCTTTTGAGAGTCATTGAGAAGTGCAGATAACTGGTCTATTGCAGTGCTCAAGGATTGCTTCCATTCCGGCGAGAGGAGCATGATGCTAGAATGGTGTTTTGCGCAAAATATTTTCAAACCAGCTGCAGTCTGAAGCTGATGAGGCGATGTACGCAACGTCTTATCACGGTTCTAGGACCAAGAAATTAATTGGAAGATACGACATCAAACAGGCAACTTGAAATTCTAGCGAAATTAGTAAAAAAAAAGTAAATAATACAGAAGTGCTCCTAGAACTGAACGCGGTTCTTGGTTGATGATGGCACATTTACCAAAGGAGATATATGGTTTTTTCGGTTGTAGAAGCGCTGCCACCCACAATGTAACCAAGGCATGGAAATGATCGAACACCAAAGGTGCATTTATCAGGGTGGATAGCCACATTGATCTTTGAAAATCGCTTTAGTAATGACGACAGACGGATATCATGAGTAGCTGTATCATCAGCGTGCATTGTGATATTATCTTGGTGCTACTCAACACCCTCCAAATATTTTACAATAGAATCAATAACTTACTGATATACAGCTGGTGAAACATTCACCCCAAAGAGAGGGGAATTGTATCGGGATAATCCAAAAGCTGTATTAAACATGGTAAGATTACTAGAGGTTTCTTCCAGTGGTATTCGATGACAGACATCTTTTAGATAGTTTTTCAGAACATAATTGAACCTCGTAAAGGGTACACTACATCCTCGTGCTCCTCTGCAGTGCATCTATTTTGTAGTGACCACATATTTAGCGTTAGCTGGTAGTCTCTACGAATTCTCGGAGTAACGCCATCAACCTTTGGTGGTGTATCTATCGAATTCGCCCAATTCCATGACTTGACAGTAGTCAAGATTGCTTTCCCACACACTGAATTTAATGCTTAACAAACAGGTTTCAGTAAGGCAAATGGAATAATTCCTCTCTTATGGAATATAGGATCTCTTGAAATATCGAGTCACATCTTGGATAAAGGCATGCCGCCTCTAGCCTTCGAACATTGAAAAATCGGTTGTTAGAGTACATTCTCATTCAGAGAAGTCAGTGAGGTGATACTAGTTCACAGTGAGCGCAGAATTTTGAGTCCGATGGTTGAAACTAAATAATTACAATCGATAGGAGTACCTTGGGACAATCTCACAGGTACCGTGCAACTACCAACTAGAGGTACAGAATGTCCATTGATACCGCAAATGTTGATATCTTTGGGCACTTTCACTACGCGGCTAGAATGCAGTTACATCTGAGTGTGGAATAATGGACTCAGCACTATTAATGTCAAGAATGAAATCATGCTTTTAACCAGAAGTGTGTATCAAATTTGTAAAAGCGTGTGACGAATTTTGAGACAAAACAGACAGGGAAAGATGCTTCTAGGTCAGTATTCGGATTAGAAATTTTTGTACTAACAGACAAGTTGAATGTGTCTCGTTTTCCCCAAATTTTTGAAACACCGAACTGGAGTTACGATCTGTGAAGTGACTTAGCGATGTATTTGGGGCACGAGAACTTGTTAGAGGTTTAAATTTGTTGCCTATTGGCATCCTGAGATTATTTCTTTCAGAGTAATTTAACAACACTGCTTCATCAGTCTTTGTTACATGATTGACATCCTCATACTGCTCACATATTTTCCGAATAGTTTGAAATTTTCAGTGTGGACAAAGCATCAGCGTCTGGTGTAATCCGTACATTTGAATGGCAGCAATGAGTCTATCACGCAGTTGGTCTTCCAATTGGGCGCCATAGTCATATTAGACTCCCTGTATCTGACACTGCAACACGAAATCACGAACGAACTGAGAATGGGAGCGGATCAACATTATAAGCTAGCTCTTTCGGCTGCTACGAAGTTAATCGGGTTTAAGTGCTGCATAAATTTTTTTCTTAAATGCATTGTAGGAAATATCAATAGGAGATTCAGAATACACTAAATTCTCTATCATTGTGTACGCCTCCTTGCCAACGAAATGTAGGCGGTGAATTTGTTACCATCTATATCATATTTTCTGAGACACAACATGTCAAAACTTACCTAATATTCCTCTGCGTCTCGCGCAGTTGAATTCACTTATAATGATTCCGTTTGAGTAGGAATGATGAACTGTTCCAATCGCGACGCCAGAATATAGGAATTAGATTCCGCACGTATATCGGTATAACCAGACAAACTAGAACTCCAGGATTCAGCACAGCGTAACAAGTAGCACGTACGTACTCGAACTGGCATGTGTGTGCATCATCTGGAATATTAAAAAGGGAAGAATGAGTAGAGCAATGTATGGAATATCAATCATGTTCATCAAAGTGTGAGAGATCGCAAATGTCCCTTTAGGGTCTTCGTGTAAAACTGGGTTAGAATGTTCAATCAAACGACTCTGTTCAGCGCAGTCCTCTTTGCTTCTTACCATAGGCTGTCTGGGAAAAAACGTGTAGGGCTATTTAGATGTTGAAACGAAAAACGGTGCGTTCAGTTCCGCTCGGGAGGTTGTCTATTTACCTATCTAAATGTACCAGTATGACAGGTGCTACTTAACCTTCTTCAATTTACTCTGTCCGCTCATCGCGATGAACTTCGTGGTGGGTTAAGTGAGTCTGCCGATTCAAGATTTACAATGGACCCGGGAACGTACGGTATCAAGCGCGTCTGAACCACTATGAAGCTGTCCGGTACTTGTTCTCCTTCATTATTTCATTGGCTCGGCCAACCCTGCAATTATCCCGACGCTATCGGAAAGCCATCCTTCATTTGATGCACTACTGACCGATGAGCCCCCTAGAGAAAGTATCGATGATATCCTTAGTGCGTAACAGCAGGGACGACCCGATTCGAGCGGTTGGCAACAGCAACTGGCCATTTGATTGTGGAGGTTGGTTAGCTAGTTGATTGACACACATTTAAATATGTATAACTATGCATGAAACGACCCGCTACAGCACTTCGGCTGCTCCTGCGTTGAATTGGGCAATATCTCCACCCTCGTAATACTTTGGGTGGCACTGTACAATATTTGAGTTTGAACAGGCAGCTGCTAAAAATGTGGCACGCCTGGCCACTGCAAGATTCTCTGCCTTTGTACCGGACCACTTGGATCACTGCTCTATTCCAGGATCATTTGAGATCAGCGCAGTGACAAAGTCGACCGTATTCTCCCGGTCCTCTGCTTTGGCAGATACTTGAGAGTATTCAAAACGCAAGCAGAATAAATTAAAATATCGGGAGGGCTAGAGGGAATCGAAAATCCTATCAAGCAAAGGGATAGCTGCAACCCGACTTACAATCAGTTTCTTCAACCGCAGCCCCCTCGGAGTTCGATGACACGGATGGGGCATAAAGTGAGCCACGGGCGGTTGCTTCATTGCCAGAAGAGCTGGCAATGCTCAAGACCTGTGCTGTTCCCAATTTCACGCAGTCTCTTCAGCGGAATTCTTGATGAACAGTTCGTCAAGTTGGTTTGTCAAGGATTTCAACACGACTGCTGCTCCACTGCACGACTAGCTTAGGCAAAATCGGGAATGCGAGTGAATACGGGGAGCACTTGAGGCTTTCAAACGTGTCAAATGGCGGATAATAGATCAGCAACTGACCTACAAACTGCCCACGTTCGGACAGATGTTCACTGTTGCAACGGACGCTAATGATCGGGTTATTGGCGCAGGAATGGTGTTACCGAGTATGCCATTATTTTTTATTAACGCTGAGTAGAAGTACTCGACCATTGAGAAAGTATGTTCTGCAATCATCTTGGCGATGCACAAGTTGGGAGTCATGCCGGAGTCATGTCAAAACCGATCACAAGCCCCTAGATCAGATCGGGACCACCAGACATCCTCGCGGAAAGCTCGCTCGCGTGGCACTTCGGTTGCGAGAGTAGGACTTTACGGTACGGCAGGTGTCAGTTAAAGATAACCATCTGGTTGATTGGCTGTCAAGACCAGAGGATCAAGATTAAGCCCCCATGATTGGTGATACCGACAGTAAGAGAAGTAGGTTTCCCAGTGCACGAACTGAACAGAGTATTGGCCGTCAGTGTAAACCCTTTACCGGGGAATTACAATATTATTTCACCAAAACATAGCGAATAGGATTAGATTTGAATTCGTTATATACGAATGTGGCGAATGGGGATTGTTCTTGGCGAACACCATCCTTTAAAAACGGACATAGCTTACGCTGGATGAATCAGCGGAGGGTATAAAAGCATGTGTGAATCTCACCCAATTCGTTTTTTGACTCAGCGGTTTGTACTCAAGTACAAGTTCAAGTAATGGGATCTCCAATATCCCTGGTTTACGTGGGAATTTGAACAGATGGCGTTAGCGGGATTACACTTATCCACCCAAGAAAAGTTTGGTTAGTTTTACAATTACCTGAATGACCTGTACCCACAAATCAAATTTAGTATGGAATGGAGGTAAACCTCGCGTACACTGGTTTTTCGTGACTGTAAGAAACATAGGGTCGGGAGAAACTAAAGACCACAGTGTACGAGAAGCCAAACGACGCTGACCATCCGAGGTTGGTATTCGCTAGTATCGCCCCATCAATGTTTAGGCGTGTAAGGGCCCTGTGCACGGAAGAAGCTGATCGGCAGCGGCCCAAATTGAGGTAACGGACAAATTTCGGTATGATAGATATCCAGATAGCTTGATCGGGCGTCAGTTGCGAAGGATGTATGTACCGGTAAAACTACACACCAGGATCGTAGAGCATAGTAGAAAAATGAACAGGCGCCAAGGAACGCGGATGAATGTCAAGAGTTACTGAAAGACTCGGCAATTGCGGAGCACGCACCGGATACGGAACACAGAACAGATTTAGAAAATGTTGAGGGTTTGAGGCGAAGACTAACTACCAGTTCACAGAGACTGATAGCCGGGGCGGTAGAAATTGCCAAACACAACAGAATAGAAGCATAACAAAGCATAATATAAAGCACAACAGAATAGAAGGCGTGGAACTGTTTGACTGTCTGAAGGGGGCTCACTGATTGGTTTCACGCCTGTCTTATAACCTGACCTAATCGGTGTCCTGCTCACTTGGCCTTCTGGCCCGGTGAGGATTCATTCCATCTCAGCGGAGAATGCAGTGTTTTTTGAGAAGTCAACAAATGGATGAATTATCAATTGACCGAGCATACGTTTGGACGATACGCTTTTAAATCTCGAATTTTCCAAGCGGATGAGGGAAATTCGGTGAAACTAACCTATACGCGGTTTTACAGAGAGCATAAATGTAAAATTTGGTTGGAACAAATCCTTCCAATCAAAAACTTGTCCATATTCACAAAGGTTCTTAGTTCACATCATCACCGAAGTTTATCAAGTCACTGAACTTTGTCAACCGTTTCACTGCCGAAGCACTGTATAATGTGTGCAGCAGGAGAGAGGATGACCTCAAATTTTGCAAACCGGCCTAATCTGCTCACGCCATTTTTAGGCTTGTATGATGGGCGATGAAACAGTGTGCTTTCACAAGTAAGCTTGTTTTTCCTGCGCTGGCGCGTCAAAACATGATGTTGTCCAATAATAAATGCCCCAAAAGCGATAACGTTAGCACATCGTTAGCGGAACCTGAACACGAATGGAAATCGGAACACATTGCATGTCAAATCACAGAGACACACAGAAAACTTCGTTGGCAGAATGGCGGTGGCAACAAGTTTAGCGTCGACTTATTTTCCCCGATGAGCTTGTCACATACTACGTAGGATACCAAGTGACAGAACACGGCCGATTTTCGCACACTGAAACTCCGACAGATAGCGCGATACTTAAGCAATGTCATATTAAAAAAAATTAACACATAAAAAGCATTGCGATAAATTATCTCGTCATAATCACCGATGTAATTAAGGAAATTTTCGAAAACTAGATGGAATCCAAAACAGAATACTCCAATTGATCTACTGATTCACTCCTCAAACATGGTAAGTAGTTTACAGTGATTCATTTGAAGTTTTGATAACCAACGTAACAAACACAAGCTCTTATTAAATTAACAGAATGATGAATCCACGTCCAGAGGCAAGGCTCTCTCATATGAACTTACATTCTCTTCCAGAACGGTGGCAAATTTACACAAATATATGCCACCAAAGACCCGATGTCTGCGTGAGCAGTAACCACGACCACCCGTAGTTATATCCAAGATTTCGTGAGACTGTGGTTTGAACATAGAGAAATTGTGTGTTGAGTTTTAGGAAGTGGATTTCTTCATAGCCCCAAAATCTCTCGCAATGGTCGCAAGTCTCCTTTGAATCTACATCAATTTGGAGACTCTGCAAGTTATGGCTGGTAACCAATTTCATTCGCGTTCTTGTCAGTCTCTCTCCAGAGGCGAGATAGAGCTTCATTTTATCCGTAGAAAATTGCTTCCGGAATATTCAATTGGCTAATGAGCTCACGATAATTAAGTGGTTGAGGCTTAGAATCACTGACCGTGTTTCGAATCCACACTTTCATGCGCTCCTATGCCCACCTTCTTATTACGGACGCGAAAAAATTGCAAGGCTGTCTTAAATAATCTGTCGCATTGTATTAGAGGAAACCCTCCACTAGATCGGTCTAGTTGTCGTTCCTTAAATCGCCTATTGAACAACTAGGTAAACGTTTGGCCAAGAACTGCTGATCATTGGTGCGATTAGCTTTCAGTTAGACTGGATATAGCGCCAATTATCCTTCAATCACGGAAACCCAATCACATAGTCACATATACTTGACAGGCTCATCGAGTGACGACTTAGCTGAAGGAAGTTTCAGTCATGTTACTAAACTATTCTTCCTCTGCAATACCTATGGATTGCTGGTTGTATGATGAGGTTGTGGTTGTTCCAAATGCGATTCCGTCCAATCAGTAAAGACAGGCTCTACTGTTCATTCGCGTTCTTGTCAGTCTCTCTCCAGAGGCGAGATAGAGCTTCATTTTATCCGTAGAAAATTGCTTCCGGAATATTCAATTGGCTAATGAGCTCACGATAATTAAGTGGTTGAGGCTTAGAATCACTGACCGTGTTTCGAATCCACACTTTCATGCGTTCCTATGCCCACCTTCTTATTACGGACGCGAAAAAATTGCAAGGCTGTCTTAAATAATCTGTCGCATTGTATTAGAGGAAACCCTCCACTAGATCGGTCTAGTTGTCGTTCCTTAAATCGCCTATTGAACAACTAGGTAAACGTTTGGCCAAGAACTGCTGATCATTGGTGCGATTAGCTTTCAGTTAGACTGGATATAGCGCCAATTATCCTTCAATCACGGAAACCCAATCACATAGTCACATATACTTGACAGGCTCATCGAGTGACGACTTAGCTGAAGGAAGTTTCAGTCATGTTACTAAACTATTCTTCCTCTGCAATACCTATGGATTGCTGGTTGTATGATGAGGTTGTGGTTGTTCCAAATGCGATTCCGTCCAATCAGTAAAGACAGGCTCTACTGTCAAGCCTAGAAGTGCTCACAAATACCGCATTTCACCAATCTCCAGTAAGGGTCAAACCCGAAACATTTAGAGGACCAAACACTTTGCTTTATTGATTATACGTATGCCAGTGCCGACCGTGTAGAATAAAACCCCGTGAATCCTGATACACAGCAGCAGAAAATAAATTTATCGACAAACCAATTGGAAAATTTTCGAGACCGATAGAAAAGACAACGTTTCGGTGATGTTTAGTAAACAATCGGTGGATTTATTGCTGGCATTTCACAACACAACAAAGCCAAGCCAGGTGAGTAAGTAAGTAGGATGTCAGGGAAAAAATTCGTGAGATTTCTTATGACAAGCCGATTTGATCAGTGATGGGATGCCTGGCGATTTCAGTTCTGACCTAATAACGCCTTTACTTGATGCAAAATTCAATCCTTTCTCCAACAGATGATGTTCATTTTCACCTGACACTCTATCTGATAAATTGACTACGCTGAAATAGCCAGTAGATCACCTACTCTCCTCGATGATGTTACCGGAACAGCGAGTCGAAGAAAGCAATCTCTCAAACTTGCGTTCTTGGTTGTCCTTGCACTGTATAACTTGGCCTAATGTTACTTCTTCACGAGGTTGCTGAAAACCCTTCGACGGCCCACGACGTGGTTCGCCCTACTTCAGGCTCACCAGTTAGGCCTAGACCCCGTTTCTTCGTCAAGCATATGTTCCACTTGAACCAGAATAGGAATGTTTTCGACAAATACAGTTATATGCAAATCAATTTGGTTTTCACGCGAGACTCAAATGATATGTTATTTCCCCAAATGAACGTTTACGATATTTGAGATATCGCGGTTACTTTTCGTAACAAAAGATTTCTCGAGTTTTCACTCCAACTGAATGTAAGTGAAGAGGGTCACTCTGATCGAAAATAGAGTGTGTATTCTCTAGACCTCCTGAGCATACCCGCAGGACATTTGTCGCAGTCATCGTTCTAGAATTGCCATTCCGATGTATGCATGTAGGCAACCAGCAGCAGCACCAGGGTCGGCGAATGAGTAAGTGGATTGGGTTGATCATCACTTCCTGATCAAAACGATATAAAGGAAAATCTTGCTACGCACACTATCAATTCGGAAACCTAAGGAGAGTGGAAAATGATGACATTACAGAGCAAACTTCTACTTGTTTGGAAGAGCCCATACAATGATTTTTATGAAATTGTATTTTTGTATAAACTAAAACCATAGGGAAGAGTAAATTCCTCGGTTTAAATCTCTGCATGCCCTTTGGTGTCACTCAATTAAATCAACCAGAGGTGTCATGAAACCGACGATTTACGCAGTGAGCATATACCTAGCTTTTGAGAAGTTTCAATTCTGAGCCCAATGAGTTTTCCAAGCCTTATCTTGACGGTCTGCAAACAAATTGTCAGCGTAGTCAATTTATTAGATGGACTCACCTGTGAAGACGAGCATCCTCTGTTGGAGAAAGGATTGAATTTTGCATCAAGCAAAGAGGTTATTAGGGCAGGAGGGATAATTCCTGGTGTTGAGTCAGTAATTCAGAAGCCTTATTCAATAGAATTGGAGGAATTACGTGTACATTTTGTCACAGTCCAGAAATCCAAGCAATGCAGTGTTCCAAACATCGATTCCGATGAGCGTCGTACCTCAAACACAATGAAAATGCTGACAGTATATTGACTACAAAGGCAGATAAAGGTAGGTTCACGGCCAACATGAATAACAATGACTATTATCAGAAAGTTAGGCAAGACGTAGCTGATTGTCCTTACCGACAAATTAGTAACGGGACGATAAGTCAATAATGAATAAGAGTAAATTTGAAGTTTGGAGGTATCTAAGTTCTGTGATAAACCATCTGGAGCAAGGCATTTTGTATGGATTGTGCCCAAGATTGCAATCCAACCACGACTTCCCGTGTTACTAAAAACTCTCAAGAAAGGTGTCTCCATAAGAACAATAGCGGAGGGCGTGGTTTCATCACCACACAAGCTAGCCAGATTTCTAGCAGATATCCTTAAACCAGATGAAGGCAAGTCACCCACACACATCCGATATTCGTATGGCTTTGCTACAAAAAGTGGCAGGATTTCAGTTAGAGCTGGACAAATTTCTGGTTAGCTTTGATTTCAACGTGAGGTATAACAATGCCTCTAAAGGACTCTGTGGAAGGAGCAAAAAGACTTTTACTGGCAGAAACAACGCTTCATGAAAGAACGCAGCGCTTCGTGGACGAGGTAGTTGAAGGCGTAAAGGTATGCCCAAAACTCAGTCATTTTTGTCCGACTCAGATATATACTCTCATGAACTGGGTTTGGTGATGGGATCACCAATATCTCCAATTTTGACCAACATGTACATTAGGGACTTCGAGCAGAAAGCTTTAATATGAATTAAGTGTTCACCATGGGTTTTCTGCTGTTTCGAAATGCAGTGAAGCGGGATCCGGTCAGCGAATTCTTTCAGTATCTGAACACTTTGGACCCTCAAATTAAGTGTAGCATGGCGCTAGATTCTCCATTGGGTACATTAAATTACCTTGACTAAAGGACACACAAGGGTGGTGGAAATTAAAGGCCAGTTTCACCGGAAATCAACCAAAAACTCGTTCGTTTGTAGCGCCTCTTCGGTGCCCAACTGCTTGCCAACCGAAGGTTGCACGAGGGCTGGGATACTTCCGGGTTGCCCAAGCCTAGACAGGGGAAGTCGAGGGGTGGAGGTCGGGTTCGAACCACGGATCTTCCAGCTAGTAAATTCGCGTTGTAACCACTTGGAACAACACGTGGTTTTAAACTACTACACAGCGCATCCAAAAACAAAATAGGCTAGTATAGATTCAACGGTGTTAAGGAGAGTGATAGCAGAGTGTACAGAGTAGGACGACCAAAGAGCAGCAAAGCCTGGGGTAGAAAAGCGAAATAGAGATTGAGGATACACGATGGGTTTAAGTAAGCAGCAACCAAGACGGGTAGTGTTGGTAATATCAAGGCCCAACAATCAGCGGTCACACCAGAAGATGCTCTTCTTCACAGGAGAGTCCATCTAATAAATTGACTACGCTGACATAGCTAGTAGATCACCTACTCTCCTCGGTGGTGTTACCAGAACAGCGAGCACAAGAAAGAAATTTCTCAAATTTACGTTCTTGGTTGCCTTGCACTGTACACCTTGGCCTAATGTTACTTCTTCACGAGGTTGCTGAAAGCCCTTCGACGGCCCACGACGTGGTTCGCCCTTCTTCAGGCTCACCAGTTAGGCGTAGACCCCGTTTCTTCGTCAAGCATATGTTCTACTTGAACCAGAATTCGACTGTTTTCGAGAAATACAGTCATTTGCAAATCAATTTGATCTTCACACGAGACTCAACTGATATGATATTTCTTCAAATGAACGTTCACGATATTTGAGATATCGCAGTAAATTTTCATAAAGGAAACTACTCACAAGGTTGCTGAACAGCGGCCATTTCATACAAAACGGAGACACCTGAAGTCATAAGAAGGCTACTGAATACGGCCAACATCAGATTAGCATTCCAGAACGGAAAGACTTTACGCTCGGTGTTAGTGCATTCGAAGGATCGGCTTCGGGTTGATAGGACCAGGAACTGTGTGTACAAAATAAAATGTATCGACTGCACGAAGGTTTATATAGGTCGGACAGTCAGGGAATCGGTGAGCATAAGCGTTCCATTAATGGACAACCGAGAAACATAGATGAATTCCAGGCGATAGTCAAAGATCCGGCAACGGCAGGATATGCACCAGATACTGGGCCAGGAAAGATTTAGAAAATGTGGACATTCTGAGACGGAGTTTAAGATTCACACCAATGTGGCTGGTGGTCGAGGCGTCGGCAATCGCCACGTATCCCTTAGTGAATTTAATGACACGGGTATAAGTTACGAACGTTTGGCAGCTATCTTGGGCCTGCCTAGATGACACGAGGCTTTGTGCAGGCATCTGGGAATCGGTCTGGGTACAGAAGTACAAAATCCAAGTAGAGTAATGTCTCCTCCGACGAACACAGTAGAACAAAATTTGTGAACGCCACCAGGATTTATTTTCCATTATGGTGTCTCCGAATTCGCATCTTCCGGATTACATCTGCCTGTTGACCTCATGCATTTTGACATGTAACAGTCTATTAAGAATTATATTAGTAGAAAGTAATCCATCACAAAATCAGTGAGATTGTTTGATCCACCTCAGTGTGAGAAACACAAAGCACAAGGAGCATCGCTCCCACTTTAAGTTGAATCCAGACTTTCTGATCAGCGTTGGTCGTATGTTTTGCTTGACTTGTTGACTGCCTCAGCATCCAATCGGCAACCGGATTTTTCTGACTTCCATGGGGTTTTCCCCAATGCGGTCTTCGGGTGTTTTGAAATTTCCAGTAGGTTTATATTTCGGGAATCCGGTCTTCGTTACACAAGATTTCTCGAGTGTTCACTCCATCTGAATGTAAGTGAAGCGGGTCACTCTGATCGAAATTAGAGTGTGTATTCTCTAGACTTTTTAAGCATACCCGCAGGACATTTGTCGCAGTCATCGTTCTAGAATTGCCATTCTGCTGTATGCATGTAGGCAACCAGCAGCAGCACCAGGGTCGGCGAAAGAGTAAGTGGATTGGTCCTGGTTGTTGACAATTTCACGTTATACACGAAGCCGTATATATCAAATTGTTATTGATATCGATTAAATGCACTTCCAGACGCCCAAAAACCAAACTGGCTATCATGTTTAGATGAGCCTTCCGAATTCTAAAATGTATTTTTATGAACACAAAGACTACTATTGAAGCAGTAATACTAATTTCAGCCTATATGGCTTGCAAGGGTTGATCATCACTTCCTGATCAAAACGATATAAAGGAAAATCTTGCTACGCACACTATCAATTCGGAAACCTAAGGAGAGTGGAAAATGATGACATTACAGAGCAAACTTCTACTTGTTTGGAAGAGCCCATACAATGATTTTTATGAAATTGTATTTTTGTATAAACTAAAACCATAGGGAAGAGTAAATTCCTCGGTTTAAATCTCTGCATGCCCTTTGGTGTCACTCAATTAAATCAACCAGAGGTGTCATGAAACCGACGATTTACGCAGTGAGCATATACCTAGCTTTTGAGAAATTTCAATTCTGAGCTCAATCAGTTTTCCAAGCCGTATCTTGACGGTCTGCAAACACAAATTTGTCCAATACAAAGTTCCCGTATGACTTTTTAATACCAAAAACCAAATTGATGTCCCGATGGACCAAAGTTTTCAGTAAAGCTACTCATGAAGCCAGCCGCTATGTGAAACTAATTTGCATATTCATTTTGCTGCTCCGCACGGTGTGAAGCGCACAGGCGCTCAACAAAATGATCCACATTCGTCTTAGAAAAGATCAAAAAGTACCAACGTGCACGCATTTTTTGAGTACGTTTGTGCAACTGATCAGTCCTTGAACGAACTGATCCTGATTTGCATAAACTTTGTACCGCAGATCTATTAAATTTATGGTGGACAATTTTTCACACTATCCCCAGGCACAGGAAGCTTCAAGTAAGCCTGGATATGATGCGTCGTTGTTCGCTTCTTATTGCGCTCTTGTTCTGCATTGACAACGTTGCATGGTCGGAAGCCATAGGTGTCCACAATTGGTCATCCATATTTAACAGTAATCCGTCAAAGAACTGGGTTGTCCTTGTCGCTGGTACCAATAGCTGGGAAGATTATCAAACTCACTTGATTTCGCGGTCCATTCATTTTGATTACCGAGCAAACGTAGATACGATAAACAAGAAGCTGTTCGTATACGGTCACTCATGCGGTGTAGATGATACGAATAACGCGCCAGCCGAAATCTTCCTGACAAGACAGCGCAAATCTTTGTTAGTATGAAGAGGTTTCCCTATTTCTGTATGAGAAACCAGTCTTTGCTGAAAAGCCGAGAAGTAATGTACAACTTTTCCATCCTTATTGGGAATCATCATTGGTTCGCTTGGTAGTTGCGACGTATAACCGTTCGGGCACGAGCGACCATCCATCAGCCTGATTTATCCGCACTGATTCTTCAATCAAGGGATCCACATCACTGGTGACAACTTTCCAAATATAAAATCCATTAGTCATGTGAATTACCCTTCTGTCTGAGCTATTTACGGTCTGCTGGTAATAAGATGACATTTGAAAGTGTTCAATTCAATGGAAATCTCTCTAAATTTCGTGAAACGATATTACGGCGAAAATACTCTCTATTGATGGGGAAGTGGGACATATGGTTGAAAACGGCCGTGAAATTGGCAGTCGGAGTGATCTGAAAATCAGTCACTCAAGCTGGTCATTCATTATTCCGATTTTGTGACTGCAAGCTTATTCACTCTAATATTGGTCCTTGTGTGCCCTTTCCAACGGAGGTATAAATTACTGTCAACAGTATAGCCGGCCAACACTAAAAGAGACATGGCTCTAAACCACGAGCTACCTCGAGCTCACGAGAATTTCCCCACCTGTGTTGCGACAGCTGTTTGCCTTGGAGTTGAACGATACCCTCGCCTACATGCATTCAGAAAGAGTGTACAACAAATTGGTGCTGCACGTGGAAGCTTCCAGCTCTGTTTCTATGTTTTATGGTGTTCTTCCTTCAAACATGGAATGTAAGTGACGTAAATTTTTTTCGCAACCACTCGTGTAGATTCTGTGAAATAGCATACAGGATAACGATCAGATATGGTTTAAAAGCCCCGCTGACCGTTAAAGCAGAACGGATTTCCAAGCTTGGTTCATTATTCTTCTCTTCTGTATTCTTGTATGGAAGTATTCCCTTAATCTACGCAAGAAGCGTTTAGCCGGGTACACCACAAAATCCAGTCTTCATGGCTTGTGTCACTTTTGCTGCTAAACTAGTTTCAAATGGGCAAAGGAAATCATTGTACAGCCGTACAACACCCGTGAAAGTTCGGTGTCCCAGTGCAGCAAGCACAATTGCTCGGTGGTTGCCTTCTTTGTAAATTATAAATGGATCGTAAGTCTTCCATGATAAGTACACTTCAACCCACGAAGAACAGGCCCAAGGCTTCTGACGTGTCTCCCTTTGACCGTTCTTGTCTGCAGTCTCCTCTGAGGGGGTCTGCCATAAGAAATAACAGATTATACATTAAGATACTGATTTGATATTGACGGGCTGACCCAGCCCAATACAGATAAATGTCTCGTTTATGAGAGTGTTTGGCAAGTCTTGCCCAGTCTGGGTTCAGTGATTGATTAAGTTTTAGGGGAAGGCAAGCACAGCGACCTACCGATTAGGGTGTCAGTTCTATATTTCTTGCAGCTTCATTAATTCTTTGAGTCACAGGATCAGTTCGTCGATAATTTGCCTGAATATTTCACACTTTCTGATGCTTGTAATGAATAACGTGAGCAAATGCCAGTAGTTAAATCAAGTGAGTCAAAATAGGCGGGATGATACAACTCACAGGTCGTTGGTACAGTTAGTATCTCTTTTATTTCATTAAAACAAAAGTTATTCGGTATGAAGAGAATAGGAATAAGCTGAGATTTAGTGAGAGACAGAAAGTGGTACAATTTGGTTGATGGTAAGTTACAAAGAAAGCACTAATGTATAATGGTCAGAAGAATCACCATAGAACTCCCCCTAAAGCGTTACATAATCAAAATAAACGCTGGACAAGAACGCTACTAAGATATGTAACTGTACAACTTCGTTGGCCAAGTCATTTTTCTACCAGAACGAGTATGGACAACTGGCTATAAATTATCCGGCCTTTGAGTTGCTATGTTTTTCCTGTTAAGCGGAGACGTAGATAAGGATTGTGATTGGTTGATAGGAGAGTATACGGTGGGATCAACGTGCGCTACATTTAGTCGATCGACGCTGACGGTATCTTGATCACCTCCTTTGTCGATGACGAATTATTTAGGTCGGCGCAAAATAACGCGGTACGGACGACGTACGGTGGCTGTAACGGTTTCTTCACCTGATCAACCCTAACGAAGACGAAGTCACAATATTTTAACACGTGGGAGATTTGTGATGCACGATTATGTAAACGCGTTGGTTTAGCTCTAAGATGTCTCACAAAGGAGCGTAATCTTTTAACATACATTGTTGGGTCTATTCTTGCTGCGTCCCATTGCTCAGCAGCTAACTCACCAGGGAGACGGAGGGGGCCGCCATAAACCACTTCGGCGGTCGAACAGCCTAAAGCTTCTGTCACTGCAGATCGGATCCTCAAAAGCAGAAGCGGGAGATGCTTTGTCCAATTTTAAGGATTACCGTAAGAAATCAGCGCTGCATTTAGCTGCCGATGGAAACGCTCGACTAAACCGTTGGCACACGATGGGCAAGCGGTTGTAGGGATGTGCGTCGGGCCAAGGAGACGGCTAAGGTCCCGAAAGATCGAGGACTGGATCTGTGGACCGCGGTCCGTAGTGATTATTGTTAGTAATCCGTAATGGACAACCTATGACTCGGGAAAAGCTTGAGCCACGGTTTCGGAGTGTGTGTCTTTGATCAGCACGGCGATTGGCCAGCGTGTAAAATGATCAATGCATGTGAAATCATACGAAATGTTGTGTGACGGAGGCCATGGCCAACAAGGTCCATGTGAACATGGCTGAACCGACTATCAGTTTTGAAAAAATGACCGAGAGGATTAACAGTATGTCGATGGACTTTGCTCTTCAGACACGCAATACATTCACGCACCCACCTAGTGATGCCCCGATTCATATTAGGCCACAAGGACCTAACGCTGATAAGCTTCCAAGTAACTCGAATACCTAGATGCGACAAATTATGTTACCGATTGAAAATCACACAAGGGGGCGAAGCAGGTATTAATGATCTGGGAGAACCTATGGAGACGTTGCACGTGACACCTTCGGTTGGATTGGATATAGGGAGTTGTTGTAACTTTAGCGGCGGAAAAGAAGGTTGCACAAATTCAGTATCACTCTTTTGATGCACAGCAAGCTCAGATACGGGAAACTCCGTAAAGCCAAATGAATCAATCCGCGTACGTGAAAGTGCAGCAGCAATTACATTTGATTTACCTTCAATATAACGGGCGTCAGTCGTAAATTGAGGTGTATATGCCAGCTGCCGCACGTTTTCTGTTGTGCAACGGGAACTTCCATTGAAGAATGTGTTCAGCATCTGAATCTGCGTTGGTTGGGACATGTGTTGCGTATGATGAACCATCATTCGCCGAAGAGATTACTGTCACCCATGCCCACTTCAGAGTAGCGTAAACAGATAGGTGGCCAACCCTTGACTTAGGAGGAGTATGAAGGAGATCACGAAACGCTTGGGTGCTTTTGTTGCTACTCGCCTTCCAGGAAAGGACCGCGTGATCCCCACTGTGCTTGGTTGGAAACACTACAAGTTATGGCTGCCAACCTATGTCAATTGCGTTCTTGTTGTCAGTTTCTGACTGGGTATCTGGAGGTGTAGGCACCTCGAAGTGATTGTGGTAAGCTAGCACTAAATCCCTTCCCCGACCAACTTTACTCTTATCTTTACAATAAGGCTTCCAAATAAATCATTTTTGTACTGTACTGAAGCATCGGTGTTGAACAGTGATGTCATGCTGTCGATGATGATGATGAAGATCCTTCATTTTTCCATTACAAATAAATTGGATTGCTTGTGCGGCAGTGGATCACTGCTGCCACCAGTATTTTGCTCTGCTGTTCCTCTCGATGATGATGATAATAATGATGACGATAATGACCATCAACCAAGAGCATCCAATCATTAAGATGTGTTGTATGGGCATGGTGTCCTGCAAAAGCGGCGTGCTCACTAATTTACCAGTAGCATGTGCCGTTCCATACCTCGGTTGTCTTCACTCTAGTGATATTTTCACGGTTTTACCTACATTGGACCCTTCTTATAATTGCGTAAGCTGATCTTTTTGCCTCGCATAGCCCCTCTTTGTCATTACCTCTCACGCGCGCACAGAAGGGTATAAAAAACGTACACTGGAGCAACGGTACCAGGAGGTGAAAAAGAGGACAATATTAAGTGACGTGATGAAATCCGGTGAAATGGTAAGTCAAAAAACGCCACGGAGAGATTCAGTTTGGTTACTTGTGAAAAGTCGAACTGTCATGAAAGTAAGTGTACTTATCGAGATGGAAGTTGTATTTCGTTACGTGGGAAAGGTGACGGTCACGGATGAAAATAATTGATTAGCAACTTCCCGTTCCATAGACGAAATTCAGCAAGGCTACTAGTCAAGGCAGCTAGATATCCAAGCCTAGCCAGTGTCATTTTTCGGGTAACCAAGAAATGGCGTTGGGTACCTTATGCTTCATACGCCTCATCTATAAGAATCATCCACTCAGAGGAAGAATAAATTTACACGATGACTGAAACATCCATCTGAGAAGTTAACACTCGAGGATCCAGTGAATACGTGGCCACGTTATGTGGTTTTCCGCGATGGAACGATAAGTGACGCTGTGTGCTTTCTAAGTGAAGGACAATCATACCGCAGCTCATTTACGTGTGGCTGAATAAATGGTTGCCGATTGGTGATTCCCTATTGGAATGAGATGTGCATTCCTGTAGATAGATAGATAGATAGATAGATAGATAGATAGATAGATAGATAGATAGATAGATAGATAGATAGATAGATAGATAGATAGATAGATAGATAGATAGATAGATAGATAGATAGATAGATAGATAGATAGATAGATAGATAGATAGATAGATAGATAGATAGATAGATAGA